GCCCGAGCGGGGCCGGGCCGAGCTGGCACCCACTTCGCCCCCCCGCGCCTCCCCGGCGCTGCCCGCACCCACCATTGCGGTTGCTACCGTTAACGCTCCGGTTGCTATGGCGCGGTGGCCTCGCGCGCATGCGCGGCGCCGGCGGGCGGGGCGAGCGGGCACGCAGGAGCACCCGGCGACCATGTAGGCGCGCGGCCCGGAGAGAGGCCCCACCCGGAGGGCGCGGGAGGGGCGCGCGGCGCATTGTGGGACGGCGTGGGACGGGACGGGACAGGACGGTCCTTGCGCCCCCGCCTCCCCCCGCGACAGGAGGCGCACACGGCCGTGGCGGAGTCACACGCATTTTATTGAAGTCAGTCAGGGAAAAAAACAGCGTTTTCAGGCGCAATATCGGCCCCTCACGCCACGGAGTGTCTCGGGAGCCCCAGACCATGTGAGATGGCCCCTAATTCAGCCAGCAAAGCCGAGCAGCGTCCTCTGCAAAACACTGAGGAGCCCTGCCCAGTAAAGCACGTGAAACCACATAAAATATAACACCTTTAACTAAGGCCCCAGTCACCCATTTTAACACACACTAAAAATATTCCTGGTGCTCGCTCTTCAGGAAATAGATCATCTGCAGTGTGTCCATGATGCATCTTTGGTCTCCACGTAGTGTTGTAAATTATTCAGAATACCAGTGCAAAAGCAGGTGACTTTTTCACAGGCCTTTCTGTGAATAATCTTGGCCACGAGCATCCTGCCCTGCTTCTAATGGTATTTCCACAGTGAAGTTAACATTCCTTCTATTTTCCTTCCCTTCCTTTTAATTTTTTTTTTAAAATATTGCTCTGCTCTCTAAACATAATCATTCATAAGCAAAACATTTTGAATTCTTACACAGCCTTGCATTTTAATAAAGGAGGTGTTACTTCTTTTAAATTGTATAGACCTGTTAATAGTTACTACAACTTGAGATGTTTGTGTTTTGGGCATTAATTTGGGGATTCTCAGGCCACCCGGGTTTTGCTGCGAATACAAGGTAACACTTGCTTCCTGCCCCCTGAGCTTCTGCTCTCACACTCCTTGATGTCCTGCATAGACCGCAGCGGAGAAACAGGCATCAGCACCAGGAGGCAACAAAACAGGGCTAGAGGAGACACCGCTCAACTAGAGCTCCGCCTGCCCGAGATCCACAGAGAGCAGGCAGGGCAAAGGGAAACCTTAGGACACGCTTTCCTCTGAGGCTACGACATGGAGTGGCTTTGGCAAAAAGGCAGGGCACGAAGCTGGGGCAACACCAGTGTGCGCATCACGGCGGGCTGCCATCCTGCACTCAGAGACAGCCAGTTTTATTGTGGGTTCAAGCCCCAGAAATAACCCTGGCAAGGTCTCCTCAGCCAAAGTGTTTGACGAGGCAGGTTGTGGAGATGTCTGGAGTGGAGTGAATATGGTAGAGTTTATTTTGGAAGGAGTGAATAGCTGAACTCTTCAGGTGGAACTGATGGTGTGTGAGGAGCATGTGACTTGCACTCAGATAATAAGGAGTAGTAGTGAGCTGCAGAACAAAGCTAACAGACTTGAGCACGATGACAGTTAACTGGAGAGAAGAGCAACCCAAACCTCAAAATGGTCTGAAAAAAAAGACCAATTTGGTCTAATCCAAAATATAGTGGCTGGTGTTGCTATTAAAAAAGTAATGAAGATAGGAGTAAGAGTTTCACATAACGGCATTTAACCATGGTACCAGCAGGACTTCAATAACCCTGAGTGTCAGTTGCTGGTCCAAGACATGATAGGCACAGATGAGTCCCTGCTCATTTCATCTAGTTCAAGGCAGTGCTGGCTGCATTCTCCCTATATGACAGTAAAAGTTCTCTTCATTTTCTTACTTTTGTTCTTGTTGAGAAGAAGCATTGATGAATTCGGCAGAAGACCAGTGAAGATAAAAAAAAGACTCATTATAAATAAATATCCCTGGCTTTATAGAGATAGAAGACATTGCAAAAATATATGGCAGTAAATTGGAGACTTCTGGGCTGAAGTAGCTTGATTCAGACCCAAAGCCTGAATCATTTTTCATGTCTAAGTTTATCATCTATGGTTGCCATCATTCTGCCATGTGAGAACCAGTCTGCCATTTCTGATGGTGCAGACGAACTTGCTAAGTTCTTTAAGGCAAAAATATTACAGGCAAGAAAGTACCTACCACTCTTTTCCAACACCTGTTTCTTGATACCAACACCAATTCAGGCTGGCAAATTTGTACTAAAATGCAGCCTATTTGTCATCATTGTTTGCACTCTCCTCCTCCCATTCTGTTTGGATGTATGCACATAGCTGAGTTGTCATTTGGTAATTTCATACTTCAGACCTTTCTCAGTCAGTCCCTCCAATTCCCTAGTCATTCTGCCTCAAGCTCAGTCCTCTGCAAGCCAGCAGCAGCTTTCTGGTACCGAAGCGCTCACCCCAAATGCAAGCGCAGAAACTCCTGAATCTTTCCCCAGGAGTGTTCCTGTGCACGGGCATGTGCTTTGCTCTCCCCACCCCCCATGACAGGGACCCCCAAAACACGATCCACAGCTACCCGGCAAAACGGAGTGGAAGGAGGATCGATTCGGTGGCCAGCTCCTGGGTAACTCAAGAGCTCAAAGTTTTCTTTGCCATGCTGGCGCAGACGCTCAATCGCCAGCTCAGCGTATAAAGAGCTCTTCCACACACGATCATCTTCTCCTACCACTAAGAGGAAGTGACCTTCAGCTTTTTCTACAGGGATCATGCAGGGAGAATTAGCAGGATTCAGTGGGTCATCCAGAGCTTCAAAAGTGTCAAATACACCAGTGTCAGAAACACTGACCTTATTCATATCAAAGCGCAGCCCAGGCAGAGTCATGTCACCATAGTGAAGGTCTGCAACTGTGTTGGAGCTGCAGCCGGAGATGCAGACAGCAGCCACCACTTCTGGCAGGAAGGTGATCATGGAGAGCGCTAATTCTGCCCCTTTCCCAGTTCCAATCACTCCAATTCCTGGCCCCTTCACCTTCAGGTAAGGTGGCAGGGGAGGAAACAGAGGAAGAAAAGAATACAGAAAGTATGCATTATAATAGGATTAGCCATTAAATACCTTTGGAGTTGTGTTAACTAAAAGGTTAAGTTAATCATTGATATGGAAGGCTATAGCCTGGAACCAGGCTCCTTCCTCTCTAAGTGTCTTATTTTTCAAGGACGGCAGATGTTTAATCCATTAAAAAACATGTACGGTATTTATGCTAGGCACAGAAAACACGATTGCTTGGCCCTCACCTAGTCCCAATTGTGTATTTTGATCCAGCTATTTTCTCTCTCCTTCTTTTTTCTTTCCTTTTTTTTTTTTTTTTTTTTCCCTTCTTCAGAACAGGTAGCAGGAAGAGTACAGTCTATTTCTATATACATCTCGGGCAAGTAAGAAATAATTTTACAAATGAGTTCTACATCTGCTTATGTAGAAGAAAGAAATTCACTCTCTGCAATCATTCACGTGTCAAACCTATGCTTTTTCCACTACTGTGCCAAAACCTGCTCAACAGAAACTGACACTTGAATGAAATCACTGCTGCTACTGGGGAATGGCTGCTGAATCCTCTCCAGGTCCTTGTCCAACGAAACTTCACGCTACACTCACCTTCGGGTGACGCTGTAGAAATCTTGCTGCCTCCTCAAAGTACTCAAGCTTGAATTCCTTCATGACCTTTGGCAGATCTTCAAAGTCAAAGTAAGGCAGAGAAAGAGCAGCAAAACCCCGGGTGGCTAGGAGGCTGGATCTGAATTCAACTAATCCCCCTTCATCACCGTACATGTCAATCACTCCTGGGAAGGGGCCGTCCCCTATATTAAATCAAGAGGTAGAGAGGACAATGAAGTTATCAAACAGGACACTGCAAAATATCTCATGAAGTGTGAACAGGAAAATACCGCAGGAATACACACTTTATTACTACTCATTGCTTTTCCACTTCTACAGTGGAGAATACAGAATTAGTTCTGCAGCTCACTTTAGCTATTTTAAACCAAGAATAGCTCCTTACCTTTTGGTAAAGTATGGGAACACTAACAAAGATTTTTTAACCATTTTAAATATATTTTTAATAGTCCTAACTTTCCATCCTAAAAACAATCATACTGTAAGTCGGATGTTTTCCTACAAGCAAGTCATACTTTAATTAGCAAATTGCAAGCAGATTACTAAAGGAGTAATTAAATTGAACCCACAGAAATAAATTCTACAAGACTTGCCCAAACTCTGGAAACAAAGTGCTTTTAGAAAAGCAAAACAGACACCTGGGTGAAAACAGCTTGACTTGCTAGCTCTGGCTCAGCAACAACACTGCAACAGTTGGCAGCAGAACTGCTGCCGCACGTGTGAAGAGTCAGACAGCAAAGCTGAATGTTGCCTATCTGTGCACGTGCAGTTGTGTGAGTGTGTGCCTGATACATCTGCGCACACATATACATATATATGAACAGTCCCACTGAGCTGCAGAAATACTCAAAGCCACAGCTTTAAGTGGAAATGTGTTGCAGCCAAAGCCTCGTTGCGATAGTACTGTCTGTCCTGGTAGCAAGGTAGCAAGGCTCAGGATACTATCCTCACAACTGTAAAGAACCCATTTTGTGTGTGTGTCCCATCCGCATTGTTTTTTTGTTTGTTTTGACTGGCCACCAGATGTCACCACTGACTCATTCACAGACATATCACTACAGCTATTTAACGGAGAAAAGATTCACTCTAATGCAAAAGTATATTGACATGCCTGAGGTACCTGTGAGCAACAATTAACTTCACTGGACTCTCTAATGAGACAAACGCAGTCAATTCTCGGCTGCAGATCTCTAGATTCCAACTGGGTTTAGCAGCTCAGCCCATTCTCTAAGGCAGGATTTACTAGATCAAGATGATCTCCACGTTGGAGAATCTAGAATGCTGACCACACTTTTCATCCAAAATATAAAGTTCAATCTCCATTGTTGTCTTTTTTCCCTCCCTCCTCTTTTCTCCTTAAGTGGACTTTGGATTAATGACTAAACGAATAATATCACTGGTTTGGAAACTATTTGCGTGAAAGACTTAGGTACATAAAAGCTGTGCTTACATATTTTGCAGAACCAAGTTATTACAAATAAGAGGGGAGTTATTGTAGGATAACAGTCAGAAGTTTAAGTCATGGCTTGACTATTCAAACACCACGACACAGTGTAAGGTTTCTTTCTCCAGCAATAGCAACCAACATAGTCAAATCTGAGTATTGCACCTCATGGAGCGTGACCATCCCACAGATGCCACAGGCAGAACTTCCCCACAAACATATTTTGTATTTACAAAACCCCTGAGCAACCAGAGTAACAAGACTATTATCTGAGCTCTTTGGCTTTAGTATAACAGAGAGTGGGTTGTAAACTTGTGTTTCCTGTGACCTCCTTCCACTGCTCTGTTTATTGGCACACATTTCGCAGGGAGGAAAAAAATGACTTTTTAAAGTGAGTCCTACACAGGGTGAAAAGCTGTGGGAGATCTTTGCACAAACTCCTGTGAGGGAAGCACACGTGCTTTTCTGTGGATAAACTATTGTAGCCGCCCGCAACAACCGTCCGAGAGCCCTGGGCAGGGGGCAAGGAGGTGCTAAAGCCGCCAAACCTCGTTCCCCGGCAGCAGCGGGACCAGCAGCTCTCTCCCCTGGGTATGAACCGGCAGGCCCCCCGCCAAGCCCCCGGCTGAGGCTCCTGAGCGCTGCGCGGCACTCACCGGGCGGCACGAAGAGGGAGCCCCGCACGGCTCCCTCCTTGAGGCGGATCCGCCGCACGCCGGGCGCCGTGAACCAGCGCTCCACCTCAGCCTTGGCCATCACGGGGCCGGGCATGGTGCCGCGCCGGCTGTGGCCCTGGTGCACCAGCATCTCCACCTTCATGGGGGCACCGGTGCTGCGGGGCAGGAGGCGCTGGCAGGGCTGCTCCAGGC